CACCCGGCGGGGCTCCCGGTCCAGCAGCTGCGCCCGGGCCAGCGGGCCGGCCCTCGCCCGGGGCCGCGACGGGGAAGGCGCCTGAGCAGGAGGCCAGCGTGGGGCTCAGGCCCTCCAGACACACCCCCCGAGCCCCGGACCCCCAGGGGGTGGTCCGCACGCCGGGCCCGCACCGAGAAACGGCTTCTGGCCGACTCGCCGACCCGTCTCCGCCCCGGCAGCCACCTGCCTATTCTGGCGTGTGCCCGGAGAGGTCGAACCACGACCTCAGCTCGTGGTCCCCGGGTCGTCACGCTTCTCAGCACGAGGCGGGGACGGGGTCGGGCCGTGCTGAGCGACAGCGGGCAGACGGGGCGGCGCTGCGGCTTCCCCGGGGACCCCACGTCCAGGGGCCTCGGAGGAGAACGGGGGCCTGACACGTCCGTCTCTGACTGACGCCCGACCCCCCTCCGGGGCAGGCGGGGGCCCAGTGAGGTGCCTGAGCCCCCTCAGGGGCAGGGGCGCGCCCCGGATACTCTCCCGCCTCCCGTCCACCACCGGGAGGACACTGCTCGTGGCGGAGAAGCGCGGCCACGCCGGGCCGCGGACGGGGCTCCTCCTCGCGTCTGGGGTCCCCACCGCGCAGAGCAGAGCCAGGCAGAGGTGTGGACGCTGAGCAGCAGGCCAGACTGGAGAGGAGACGCCAAAACACTCAAAACACCGACCTCTCGCCCTGGCCGGGAGGCTCAGTGGGTTGGAGCCTCGTCCCGTACACCGCGAGGTCGGGGTTCGACCGCCGGTCACGCACAGCACGCGGCGCCCGGGGGGGCTCTCTCGCACCGAGGCCCCTCCCTCTCCCCCGTCCTTCCCCACCTCTCTGCAAATCAGCACGCACGCCCTCGGGCGAGGGAAAGAGGCCATAAAACCACGCGCCGCCCGCCTGCCAGCACTCCAGACGCTGACTGAACTGTCCAGGGAAACTCGGGGAGCGACGGTCACCCCGTCCCTGGAAGAGACTGTCGGACGGTGTCCTGTCCCCCCCCCCCGCCGTCCTCGTCTCCTTGCACCCACAGGGAAATGAGGGCAAAAAACGGGAACGCCGAAACGTCCCCAACACCGCAGGCGCTGCGTCCTGACCCGGCAGGCGGTCGCAGACGCCCGGTCACCGCCCCTCGCTCGGACAGTGTGTGTCCGCTGGGGGTGGGTGTCCGCGGAGCTCGCTCTCCCCAGCGCCGGGGGCTGCGGGAGTCGCCTCTGTCCAGGACGAAAGCAGTCAGACGCGGCAGGTTTGTGGCAGGTCAGTGCCTCTGTGTCGGCACAGACGGCGGGGCGGCCGCACCCTCACAGAAGCCCCGCACACACCCGGGGTCACCCCCGTGCAGCCGAAAGCGAAAGCGAAAGCGGCCACGAGGATGAACAGGCCGGGTGAGCTCTGTGGCCGCCGCCGCGCTGGACAGAGGCCTCTATGGAGCCTCCCTCACTGCGGCGCGAACCTCGGCTCTGGTGTGACCAGGGCCCCGCCCCGCCCGGCCCCGCCTGAGCCCCCCTCGGAAGCCAGTCGCCCCGAGTCTGTGCGCCTGTGTGGCACCGCGGACACGTCCCCGACTCGAGCGGATCCTGCGGCGGCGGCCCCTGCGCTCGCCCACGGGCACCCGGCCTCTCGCTCCGGAGCCGCAGGGATTCCTGTCCGCCACCTTCTCCCGCCTCAGGAGGTCTGTGCAGGGAAGTCGCCGCCTCCTCTGCCTGCTGCTCAGCAGCGAGTTCTTGCCCCGAACACCCCGGAAAAGCGAAGGGAGTGGGGCGGAGAGGGACCGGAGACGCCTGAGGCAGGCGGCGAGCAAGGAGAGAGGCCGCCTGTCCCTCAAACGACCCCCAAATCCAGGCCGGGGCCTCGCCTGCTGTGGGACGGCCCCCCCATGGGAGTCGGGGAGCTGCCCCTGCGCACAGACCCCCAAACGGACCGGGGCCTGAGGGGCTCCTGGGCCCCGACACAGGGTTCGGCCCCCCGGGGAGTGCGGGGTCCCCAGACCCAGACACACGGCAAGCACACGTGCGTGGTGCACGGGGTCTCCGGGCCAGTCCGAGCGGCGTGACCCTCAAGCAGTGAGGCCGAACGGCCGACGGGCATCACGTGCTCTGCGCCCGGTGAGCACCCGGCCCGCCACCTGGACAGGTCTGCCCGCCCTCTGCTGCCCAGCGTCCCCGGGGCCTGAGGGCTGACTGCTCTGCTCTCCTCTTCTCTGTGTGGGAGGACGTGGGCCCAGGGCGCCCGGCCCAGGGCTGACATGGGGACACTGTGTGAAATGTGGGCTTTTGGGGCAGCCGGGGGGTGGCGAGGTGGGGGCTCAGGCGCCAGAGGCCTCGTTAGAGACTGGAGGACCACAGCGCCCAGCTCCTGGCACGGGCGGCGACCACATTCCAGCGAGAGTCGAAGCCCCCAAGCCTCTCGGAGGACGAGCCTCCGGCCACTTGGCCCTGAGCCTCCCGCGCCGACCTCCCCTCCTGAGTCTGCAGGGCTGCCTGCCGCGGTCAGGACACCTGAGGCCACCCGGGCCTCCTCCGGGGTCCTGCACGCACCCCAACCCCGTGGTCGGCCCCGCTCTCGGCACGCACCACCCTCTCCTCGCCCGCTGCTCCCTGCCTCACGGGGGACCGGTGGGTCAGGAGCCTGTGCTTCTAGAAAGCCCACCGTCGGCGCCTGCGCCCCACCCTCCCGCAACCCAGGCCCAGGCCCAGCACAGCCCCGGAGCCGGCACCTCCCGCGGGCTGGTTTCCGGCAGTCAGACCAAGGAGCCGCCGTCCAGCCCTCGGGTGCAGGCGTGGTTTGGCGGCTGCTGGCTCTCCTGCCCTGTCAGGGGTCACCGCTCACTCTCCGCACTCCAGGCGTACCAGTGAGACTGGGCGCTCACCATGGACCCTCCCATGGCCGGTGGCCACACTGACCAGGTGGCTGCCCACAGCCACGTGGGCTGTGCCGCCTGCCCGTCCGCCCCTCACAGAGGGAGCTCCTTGCACTTGAGACCCGTGAGCCCCCCGTGGGCAGCCGGTGCCGCCGGCGCCTGCCTGCCGTCTGCCCACAAAGAAGGACGGTGTGCTGGGTCCCCGAGCGCCCACCCCTGCCAGCGCGGGGCGTCCGCTGCATCCTGGGGCCTCGCTGCCTCGCGGGAGGCGCCGTCACAGGGAAGGAGGGGGACCGGGAGAAGAGGGAGCAGAAACGTCTTACAAACGGAAGGAGCCTGCGTCCCGTGCAAGAGGCGATGCTGCCCAGATCTCACCTGAACAAAAACACCTCCAACACCACCCACGCCCCACGTGCGTGGGTCCCCCCAGTTCTGCGCGCAAGTGGAGGTGACAGAGACGCCTGCCGCCTGCTGAACAGGACAGGGAGGTGGAGGGGGGACGGCAGGCCCGGTCCCCCTGGGTGGGTGGCGACGGGGGGCCGCCCCGGAGGCCAGGAACAGGACCGCTCTTCCAACAGGACGCTGCGCGGCTGCACCGGTGCGTGCCGGGGCGGGGGCTCTGGAAGGCAGAGCCTGAGGCCGCAATGGTTCCTCCCGCCGCCCATGGCCAGTCCTGCGGGGCCTGCGCGGGGCCTGCCCGGGGCCCGCCCTCTCCGGGGCCCACAGCTCTCTGCAGAGTGCGGACAGAATCCGCCCCGGGGTGGGCAGCGGGGTCCCGAGCTGGGTGGGAGAGGCGGGCATCTGCATGGACACCTGTCCCTCCGTCCTCTGAGCTCTGGGGCCCCTTTCTCACCGGCACTTGTCACCCCCACCAGGTCCCATCAGTGGTTCCTGTGCCCCCCGTCCCGGCAGACCACCGGCCCCTCCGCGGGAACTCCGTCCCCAGCCGGGCCTGAAGGCCCCTCCACAGCAGGCCCCCGTAAGGGCCGAAGGGCTGTCATGGGAAGGGCTGTCCCGAGAAACCGGGAGCGCCTCGGACCCGGCTGAGCACACGCCTCTGTGGGGATGGAGCCGCTCTCTGCCTGCGGGCGGAGAGCACTCCAGCACCGGCTCTCGACTCTCTGTCCCCAGGACCCAGGTGAGTCACCCCTTAAGCCCAAATAACGACGTTTGGAAACGCTCAGTAATGTTTAACTCCGAATACGAGGTACGGGGCAGAGCTGACGGAAAACCCCACGTAAATCATACACCGGGGCCAAATCTGCCCCGCCGTCCTCCTCCCCCGGGCGGGCAGCACCCAGGCCCGCTCTGGGCACCAGGCCGGCGTGCCGTGTGAGGGGCGCAGCCTTCAGGCTAGGATGGCAGGAAGGTGGGGGGGGGGGCGTCAACGCTGTCACGGCCTCGGACCTCAAAGCCAGAGCGAGCGCAGGGACAGGAGAACCAGGCTGAGCACAGGACAGCCGTGTTTCAAAGACTTCAAGAGTCTGTGGCCTGAATAGAGCTTTTTCATCGTGCACTCCCTCTCGGCAGACAGGCCACGGAAGCGAACTCGGAGCGACAACAAGACGACTTTCTCTGTTTTTTTCCGGGGAGGGGACGTTCGCTGGAGAAGCTCTGGTGGTCTGCCGTCGTTGCTCAGCCGACCGCAGGGTGCAGTGCAACACGGCAGAGAGAGGGGAAAGCCTGCGGTCTTCTGGGCGCACGAGGTGGCCGGGACCACATGCCCCCAGAACGGGGGGGGGGCGGGGGGGGGCGCGGAGGGGCCGGGCCTGGGGACGGGAGGACCGGCGGTCTCCACAACTCTCCTGTGGCTCTGACAGCAGCCGAGAGGGCGCCTGAGCAGAAGGCGCCCGCAGAGCGCGGCCCCAGCGCCCGTTCACGGGCCCCCGGAACTTTCCGCACGCCGCGCTCTAAGTGGGTCTCCCGGCTCCTGGAGGCTGGTCTCAGACCTCTGGTTTCGACCAAGGTGTGCGTGCCGCTCCGCTGTCCCAGAAACACAGACCACAGGGACAGAGTGGCCCAATTTCCCTTAATTTGAAAAACCCCACAGAAGGACAGTGTTGGGAAGTGCACTCTGTTAAAATTTAATTCAGCTTAACGTATTTGCAAATAATACTTCACCCAGCAACGACGGGCTGTCCGGGTGCACGGTGCTTCCTCCAGGTCCGGGCCGGCCTCAGCCTCCCGGTGCGGACGTGTGACCGAGGAGCCTGGGCTGTCCGGGGGCCAGAGGTCACCCTGGACCTGGGTAACGGAGCGAGGACGCAGCAGGGAGCCAGCGGCCGGCCGGTCCTGACACCACCGAGGGGCCGTGGGCGGAGGTCTGAGCACAGCAGACACAGAACAGCCAAACCTGAACAGAAATGGTCTCATCTAAGTCAGACAAAGTCCTCACACCCGGGATGCCGACAGGAGGCTCCGGTGACCTGTCGTCCCGGAGCTGGCGTCCAGGAGCCGCTGGACTTGCGGTTTCTCAACAGCCTGGTGCGGCACCTGCCGCCTCCCCCCAAAGGGAACTCTCACAACAGCCCCTCCCTGTCCTCCCTTCAGTAAGGGATGTGAAAATAATTACTGGCTCTTTAGGGGACACAGTGTTTAAGTTCCCCTTCAGCCTTCAGTAACTTCTGCTGGAGATTGCCTCGCGCTCACGTAATCCTTTCTGGAATAACAGGGGGTCCCAAAGTTTCAGGTGGAAGTGTCTGAAACGACCAGCAAATACACCCACGCGCAAGAACTCTGCTGAAAAAAGTCCATTGTTTACTTCATTATTCATGCGGAAAAGCCTCCCATAAATTTCCTTCTGATGAACAAACTATTTTCCACTCTCGCGGAGTGGAAATTTTACCTTGCGCACAGCAGAGTGGCTGGCGAGAGGGAATCCGCAAGTTTGTTGCCCAAACGGGAAGTTACCTCTGATAATAAATCTAACAGGGAAGATTCTACAACTGATACAGTTACAATGCGTGCGTGAGTACTCGGCGCACAGGTGTCTGCGTCCAGCCTTTGCTAGACGTGTTGCCTAATTAGCATTTCCTTAAACAATGCTGGTAACAATCTTGCCACCGCAATCCAGGACCAGTGCGTCGCTGAGATTCTGGCAGGGGAAGCGGCAGGAAATTCGCTGAGAATCTCAGTCAAACTTTCTTTTGTTTGTATTTCCTCGGTCTCAGAACATATCTGTTCCCGGCCCGCTGGGCTCCTTCCCCGGGCTCCTCGCCCGGGTCCAGCCCTATTGTGCGTGGTCCGTTAGACCCGCACAGCACGGATTTGTCAGCGGGGCTGGGGGCACCCCAACGAGCCCGAGCCCTCCTCCCGGCGTAGAAAATTCCCCATTTGCCACCGGGACTGAGTTGTCACACACCGACTCGCGCTACCCCCTGAAACTGACATGTCTATTTACAGAGAAACAAAGACGCCGCTCGCCACGGACCCCGATCTCTCCGCGCGCCTCGTCCGCTCCGCGCGCCCCTCGCCGCTCCGCGCGCCGCGTCCCCTCCAGCTCCTCCGGGCGCTCGGCCCCGAGGCCCCGGCGCCCAGATCCAGCCGGTAATTAAAATGGAGACGAGGCCAGTGCCCGGCTTCAGGGGGAGACAATGACCCCAAGGCAGGGTACGGCGCCGGGACCCGCCCGCACCCACCTCCCGCAGTTCCGACTCTTGGCAAACTCGGCGCGGGCGGGTCCGGGTGCGGCTCGGAGACGCGGGCGGGGGGCGCGCCGGGCGGCGCGGGCGAGGGGCGCCAGGACGCCCCCGGGCTGTCTCCTGGGGCCGGGCGTTGACGCAGCAGAAATTACCAGCTGGAAAATTCCCCTTTCGGAGGTGTCGGGGGAGGGACGGCGGCCGCAGGAGGCGCCCGGGTCGAGGGGAGCGGGGCAGTCCCACCGCCGCCACCGCCTCCGCGAGCAGCCCCGCGGGGACCACGCACCGCCCCCGCCCGCCCCGCCCCGAGACTCCGGAGCTCCGAGACCCGCTAGGACGGGCCGGGGTAGCTACCGGCGCCCCCGGAGCCGCAGCCGGGGCGCTCCGATAGCGGCCAGGAGGGCGCCCCCGCGGGGTGGGGCGCGGCGGGCGCTGGGCGGCAGGCGGCGGTGGCGCGCCCCGGCTCGGAGCGGCCCCGGCTCGGAGCGGCCACGATCTGGCCCCCGCCCGGCCCCGCCGCGATGCGCCGGCCGGCCGCGCGGACAATGAGCCGGCGCTGCTTACCTGTGACCCCATGGGGCGCGGGCGAGGGCGGGCGCTGCGGCCGCCGGACCGGAGCCGGGGATCGCCGCCGCCGCCGCCGCCGCCGCCGGGCGAGCGCTGCGTCCGGGCGAGTCGGAGATGCGCGCTGGCCTCAGCTGCTCGGTCCGTCGGTCTGAGCGTCCGTCCGTCAGGCCGGCGCGCGCCCCCGCGCCCGCTCCAACCCCGCGGCCCCCGCCGCCCGCGCGCGCGCCCCCGCCTGCGGACCCCCGACCCCGCCCCCCGGCGCGCGCCCGCCGCTGCTGATTGGCCCGCGCCGCGCCCCCGGCCGCGGCCACCGCCCCGGGCCCCGCCCCCGCCGGCCGGGCCGCGCGCCCCGCTTCTCGCCTGGCCCCCGGCTTCGCGCGGCGGCGCGGGAGGGGGCGCGGCGGGGGTCGGTCCTCCTCCGGCCCCGCTGTGGGCGGCCGGACAGCGGAAGGGCGGGCTGGAGCTCGCTGGGCATTGTGGGAAGCCCCCTCTCCTGGGCAGGCGGGGGGGGGCGGGGGCGGCGCGGCGTGGGGTCTTCGGGCACCCGCGCCCCTTCTCGCAGGTCAGAACAGCAGAGACCCCCGGGGATGGGCGGCTCGGGTCAGGGCGAAGGCCCCCGGCGGCTGTCTGACTGCGCACCCCGGCCCTGCCCCCGCGCCAGCTCCTCGGGGGCGCGCGGGTCTCGGGGCCACAGGCTGTCCCCGCGCCCCGACGCGCAGTCGCGCGGCGCGCGTCTCTCAAACTTCGAGACTTCGCCCGCGCCCGGGCGGTTCTGCGGGCCCGGCGCTGTGTGACGTGGGCAAGGAAACAGTGCTCCCGCGGCCCTGCGCCCTCGCGCAGTCGGGCGCCTGGGCACCGCGCGCCCGCGCCTTCGGGGGACCTCGGCCCACCGAGGGAGCGGCGCACGTTGGGGAGCGGGCCACGTCACAGTGCATGTCACGGGGGCTTCGGTTTGGCCAACTTAGGAGCACCGGCGGCCACGCGCGGCGGTCCTTCCCGCCGCCCCGTCTGTCTGGTGGGCTTACGGGCCCCGCACCCCCCCCGTAGGCGATCACGGATCAAGACTCGCGCTGCCCGCGAGGGGCCCTGTGCGTCCCTCCTCCCCCAACACTGTCCTCGAGCCCTCGGGCGGGCGTAGTGGGAATCGCGGCCCCGCATTCCTGGCTGGCCTGTGCGGGGGCAAAGGCCACCTCGCTTCCTCTCCCAGGCGCGGCGGTGGGAAGGGAGGTGAGCCTGTGGCTGACCAGCCGCGCAGGGGAGTCGAGCAGGACCCGGCCATCCAATGGGGAGGCGCCGCGGGCCGCCCGCGCCCTGCCTCCCTGCGGGCCCAGCGCCGCGGAATTCCTCGGGAGGTGGGAGGCGGCGGGCCATTATGGATGCTTTCTCAGGATGTGTGAGGAGGCATTCACTGGGCTGCAGGGAGAGGGCAGGTCGGGTGGGGGTGGGGGTGGAATTCTCCTTGAGTGAACAAGGGCGAACGTCGGTCTGGCAGCCCAGCCAGCGAGGAGAGGCCGGGACACTCCCTCGCCGCTGGCCGGCGGTGCCTGGAAATGGCTGTGCAGGCCCGCACCGCCGGCCCCAGGGGCCGTCCCTCCAGGCTTTCCTGCCCCGGGACCCTCTGGGTCATGTCCTCGGCGTCTGCGGCCACAGGCCCAAGCTCCCCAGGCCTTTGGGAGGGGGCCTGGGCACAGCCGCCCAGACAAGTGCCTGCCTCCAGGCCTCCCGGAGGGTCACCTGCCTCCTCCCTTTGAACGGACAGAGGTCTCTCAGCGGGGACCCCCCACCTGCCTCCCAGGGCACACGTGTAGGCTTAGAGGAGAGGAGGCCAGAGAGGTGGAGGTGATCTGTGGACCCCCAAGCCCAGGAGGACCTGACCACTGCCGCCCACCTGCCGCCCTTAGAGGGTGTCTCCCCCGAGAGACGGGGTGCACGGGGAGAAGAGCCCCCTGGGGTCCTGCGTCCCTCCTCCTGCCGCCTGCCCACAGGACCCAGGCTTTGTGTCTCCGGGGCACACCCAGCTCCCCCCGCCCCCCACCAACCTGGGGCTGCTGGTCTTGGCAGAGACCCTAGCCAAGTCCTGGGGTGAGCCCCTGGGGCCCTGGGGACTCCTCTCCTTGTCAGACCGAGGCAGGCCTGGGAGGAATGACAGTCACTGGCGAGACTATGGCACCGGGGAAGCCGCCTGCAGGCCCCGCCCAGGGAGATCAGGGTCCGGGGCCAGCTGGTCCAGCCGAACAGGATGCAGCTTCCACCCAGCCACCAGCTCTGGACAGTCTGCTCTGATGCCCCGACCCCCAAACGCTTCTGCCTTTAAAAACCCTGATGTCAGAACAACCCAGCCAGCCCCAACCTCCCTCGGTCGGCCCCACTTTCCTCTTATTCCTGCTAATAAACCCTGCTCTCCTGAGCTCGCCGCGTCCGTCCAGTTTCTTGAGTGACTCCTCACTCCCCTATCCTGTGTGATCATGAGTCGAGGCTCTTCCTTCCCCAGAGCAGGCTTGCCATGGACTGGGGACGAAAAAGCCCATATTTTCCGCTCCAAGAACCAACAGGAGGGCCAGCAGCCTGAGAAGGAAGCTGGCATACCAAAAAGTCAGAACCTAGAACAGTCCCAGGGAGCCCTGATCAAGCTGAGCCTGAAACCCACCCTGTCTCTAGATAGTTATTGTTCTGGGAGCTAATACCACCCTCTGTCATTTAAAGAAGAAAAGAACGGGTAGCAGCAGCTGCTGCGTGACCCCAGAGCCAGCTCAGTCTGAAGGGTGATGCCGGCAGCCCTGCCCTAGAATCCCCACGTTCATCAGGGCTCAGCACTGCTGAGTTGCCTCCAGGATTGGGCAGAAGCCAGGCTAGATTGAGAAGCCTCCCCTCTTGCTGGGAACCGCCCCCCAGCCCTGCTAAAGGCAGCAGGCACTGCCTCTCAGCCCTGAGGCCTGGCCCAGACCCCAGGAGGAACCTGCTTCCGGCCCCTCACTGTCCACAGGTGGGGGCTCTCAGCGAGGACAGCTGCACCCCGGAAGCGGCCCTGGGAACCGAGGGGGACAAGGGTGTGTGGAGGGCCTCGGCAGCGCTCTTTGACCAGAGGACCCAGTATCCAGGGCCAGTGGAGCCGACCCATGGCTGTCCGGGAGGGTCCAGGGCACAGGGTTCGGGTGCCATGATGGACCCTGGCTGAGCTGGCGGGCAAGGCCGGTGGACAGCTGGGGCTCTGCACTGCTGAGGGCTGCATGGTGCCCATCCTGGAAGTTCTCCCCCGGCCACGTGGGTGAGTGTGTCTGGAGCCTGCCCGGGGGGCCCCTGAGGCCTGGCAGGGTCTGGGGGACTAGGGAGGCCGGGGCCAGGAGCTCAGGGGCCAAGGTGCAAAGCTGGTTGGGTTCACAGAAGCACTTATGGATGGCAGCCCCCCAGACCTTGCTGCCCTCCCGCCACCTACAGACCCCAGGCCTCTGAAGGGGAGGCTGGGTCAGTGAACCACACGGCCACTGGCAGGCCTCCCAGAGGCCCTGGCTCAGCCCCCCCAGGCACCCCGCGTTGGGCCAGGCCCCACCTGCCCTCCAGCCCCACTGTGGCTTCAGGGGGGCAGAGGAGCTGGGCAGAGACCCAGCCCCTTGCCCCATGTGGGTGCTCCGCTGCCACCGAGAAAGCAGGGACCAGCCTCCCGTGCCCGCCCTGTGAGGCAGAGCCTGGGAGGGGCTCTGGGGAAGGCGGCGAGAGGGACATCAAACATTGCCCCATATGTTCCTCCCCAGTGTCCCTGGGCAACACCCCACCCCCAGGACCTTCGCCACAAGCCCCACCTCCCCCCAGGGCGCTCGGTTCCCCATCCGCCCCCACTGGGTTTTCTCCACAGTCACTGGTCTGGGAACCTGCCTGTTTATTCTCCAGCCGTCCCCATGGCAACAGCCCTGGGAGGCCGGCCCCCTCCCCGGGAAGTGCCCAGAACCTGTTCCTGCCCTCTCCGAGCCCTTGCTGGAAGGTCCCCGGGGAGGGAGTGCGGCTGAGAGCCGGCGGGGGGAGACGCGGCGGCCGGCGGGCCCGGGGTGCCTGGGCTGCGCGGCGGGAGCCGCCCTCCACACGTCATCCTGGGCCCGGCGGGTGGACCGGAGGCGTCCCCGGGCTGCAGCGGAGCCCCACCCGGAGGTGGGGAGGCCGCCTGCCGAGGCCCAGCCCGGGCTGCTGCCAGCTGGCCCTGCCCTCCTGCTGGGCCTCCCAGAGACCACCCTCCAGAGGGAGCCGCTGCGGGCCAGGGGCTACCTGCCAGCCCCACGGCTGCCCAACCCCGCTGTCCTCCGGGCCCGCGCCCCTGCCAAGCCCCAACTGCCGCTCCAGCTGCCACCGCCAACTGTCGCCCGCCTCCATTCCAAACGCTCACCCCCAACCGTCCCTCCGGCGGGCCCCTGCCAACTGCCAGCCCCTTCCTTCCTGAGCCCCGGCTCCTTCCACCACCCCCAGGCCCTGGCACCAGCGCTCTGCATTCCAGACCCCGAGGCCGAGGCCGGGCCACACCTGCCCTGCACCCGCTGTGCGCCCGCCCGGGAGGGGCTGGTGTCGGGGGGCAGGGCAGAAAGCCAGGGAAGGTGCCGGGGGCTGGGGGCTGTGGACAGCACGGGAGTGGGGGAGCAGGCAGAGGGCAGTGCCAGCTGCCCAGCAGAGCCAGCCCCGGGGTGGCCAGGGCAGGCCCGGGGGACTGTGGGTGGGGCTGGGGCCTGTCCTCTGAGAGTCTGTGAAGAGCTCAGCGGGACCGGCAGCCTTGGCCTTGCCATGGCCGGGAGGGGTCCCCACACCCCTCCCCAGGCCTCTCTCCAGGCCACCAGCCCTCTCAGCCCCGGTGGGCCCTGCTCCTGACAGCTCAGCTGTGCAAGGCCACCCCGGCCCCCTGGGCCCATGGTCCCTTTCCCTCTGACCCCTGCCACCTCTGTGGGTCCCGGCCTTGGCCTCGCTGCCCCCTTCATCCTAGCCCTTCCTCTCCCCCGTAGCCGCACCTGCCCCCCGCTCCTATGGCCCCTGTGGTGGCCCCCGACCCCACCCTTCCCCACGTGGGGTCCCCAGAGCCTGGCTTCCGCCGGGCACCGAGCCGTGTCGGCCTTCTCCCGGCCAAGCCAGGAGACGCCGCCGCCCGCCGCCCGCACGGCCCAGCCTGTAATTCCATCTCGCGGGGCCTGGGAACCGGGAGGCGCGGGGGACCAGCCAGCCAGCGCCGGAGCGGGGCGAGGGG